ATCCCCAAACCCCCCACCCCCGTGAAAAATTGTCTTCCACGAAACCGGTACCCGGTGCCAAAAGGGTTGGGGACCGATGGCCTAGCCCGACATCTTTTTTGTTGCTACTTAAATGTGTGCCCCGAATTGCAATTCTTTGATCCCAAGGTAACGCGTTGTGCTTGATTATTGCCTCTCAGGTTAATTTAGTTTGACAGTATCCACTATACAGTTATGTTTTCTAATTTCATGTATTTTTTTTAGCCAATGATCAACATACTTTATTGCACATAATTCCCTTTTTTATTCCAAAATCTTGTTAACTTGGTTTTTCTTATTTGAAAATACTTCCAAGGTTTTCATAAAAAACAAAAACAACAAATAAGGACTCTGGCTACTCTCAGTCTTTACACAACTGGAATGCTTTTTTTCTAATCTTGTATCAACTTTTATGTTGAGAAATGAGAGTTAAATCAGAATTTTAAAAAGATTATACATACAGGGTTTGATGGGTCTGCTTTGATGTGTTGTTCTTCCCGCACGGACTTGGCCCATTAGTGCCCCGGAGTTTGGGGGAGGGTCTCCTCCTCCCCCGACTCGGTGGACCGAGAGGAACTACATTACCCAGGAGACTGTGTGCGGACCGGCCTTGTTCTCCACACCAGTGATGGCCCCGAACAGGGGCTCTTCCGGGATTGTGAACTAGGAGTGGGCGGGACTTCCGGCTCCTTCCTGAAGGAGGTCGTTTGGCTGCTTTTGCTGCCGTCTGCAGGACCCGAGGCTCAGGATCACTCGGTGGAGCCGAGCTTAGAGAAACTGGAAAGAGCCCGAGGGGTGCCGTCCACACTGCCCAGGAGTGAGCGGGTTGCGGAACCCGCTTCCGGGATTTTCGGCCTAGGTCTCCGCCATTATCCTGCGCGTCTCCTGGCACCACCGCACCCACAGGGTTCTATGTCAACCAACGCGGTGGAGGACCCGGCCCAGGTGACTGTTCCGCCCCCCCGCGCCCCCCCCCGATCCTGACCCAAATCCTCAAGCCCCCAGGGAGGGTCTCCTGCTCAGGGCACTGGGATTCAGCCCCCTGCTTCCAGAACTTTAGGTGTGCGTGTGTGGTGGTCCCATTTCTGACAGGCTGTGTGACGCAGTGTGGAGCGTGTTAAAGACTGTGGGTTTGGCCCGTGCAAAGCCTTTGAGGTGCTCAAGAGCCGGGAGCATTCGGGAAACCTGGGGTTCCAGTCACTTCTGCAGGGAACAGAGAATTTAGGGAGGAGTCAACAGTCTGGGCCAACTGTCAGCATTCTGGGTGCTGTGGAGGGTTGTGAATAAATCAGGAACACGGTCTGAGTTAGAGTTTTAAAGTATTCCAAAGGATGCTCAGGGGAGAACAGACTGGAACAGACTGGGTTCTGAGGGTGGAGGCAGGGAGACCTGGGAGAGCCCAGTGCATTCCACTCCAGAGAGTAAGGTGGCTTCTGGACCAGAGTGGTGCCTATGGAAGTTGTTGACCTGAAACAAATAGACTGCCCGCTATTTCTACTGCAAAGATGGTTCCCCCCACCCGCCCCTGTCCTCCCCCCCATCCCCCCCAACCATCATTAGGGAATTGCAACTGGGGTGTGCAGCTATGGTGAGCTATCACTTCTATGGAGATTAAAAAAGGAAGTTAGAAGGGCTGTAGCCACCAAAGAGTCCGTGGGTTTTTTGTTTTTTGTTTTTTTTTTTAAAAGAGTCCATGGCTTTTCATTGGCTGAGTCCTTTCCAGGAAAGAAGGAGTCTTCATCCTTTTGGATTCCGTTATTGTTTCAGGTCAGTGAGGGCTGACCCCTTCTGGTGTGCCAACTCTAATTGAGGTTTCTGTTTACTAATTTTTTACGAAGGAATATAAGTAATAAGATTCTCAATAATTCTTAAAGATAATTGGCAGGATTTCCTGGTACAGTGAATGTGGCTCTGACCTAAGGACAGAGTAAAGGACAATAAGCATTTTCTTTTGGCTGAGCATCTGGAAGACTTGAGACCAGCAACTGATGTGAGAAGTCAGTTTCAGGGAGAGATTAAAAGTTGGATTTGGGACATGCTGCTTCTGAGATTCCAAAGTTGAGGTAACATAGGGGCCGGTGGAATCTGTAGTCTGGAATTGAAGGAGGAGGTCTGTGGCTCACTGATGTCCATGTGGTTACAGACTAAGTCCTGGACTCTGGCCAATTCTGAATCTCAAATTTAAGAGGGAATGTTTGGTCACTTTTCTGGGAAAGGGGACCTGAGATGAGAGAAGAGAGACCTGGGGCTGGCGGGCAGTGCAGAGCAGGTGAGACTCTCTGAGGCTACCTGAAGATGGGAGGGTCCTGTGGTTCCAGAGCTTTCTGGGGAAGCAAGGGTATAAGGTGTAAGGAGTCTTGCCTGGGATGGAGATGGAGAAGGAGGTGTGAGATAGTGTAGATTCACTCCTCTGAACACTTAGCTGACTGTGTATTCGTTTTTGAGCCAGCAAAAAGTGGGCAATGTTGGCCAGTCATTGAAGCCCAGGCCCAGTGAAGGGCAGAGGTGCCTCAGCTCTCCCAGGAAACTACAAAGTTAAAAAGGTATAGATTTAACAAGTTAATGTTGTGTAAGCAAATAATAACTTCTTAATATGTCTGTGTATAAAATAATAATTAATAAATACATATATATATAAATAAAATTTATTTTTTGCCTTGGGCTCTTCACATAGACCTCTGAACCCCTTGGAATTTCCTGGGGGTTAGGACTTTTTTTCACAACGAGCCCGTTTTGTCACAAAGGAGTTTATTATGATGAGGTGACTTAGGGCAGGGCCCTTAGGTAGACTCAGGAGGGGACTGGTAACCAGAAAAACCAAGCAATTAGAAGTTTATACTCCCCCCAACCCCCCAACCCTGGGGCCTCCCAAGGATCAGAAAGAAACTAGAGACTAGGTATAAAAACTGCTGAAGAATGAAATTCAAGGTTCCTTCAGATTGGTGAACACATTGAAATTGCGGAAGTGCTGGGAGGGTTGCATGTACTGAAAGGGTTTGGAAACACCCTGGTGCCCTCTAGCACCCCACCCCCCCAGACCTAGATATCTCTTCCATTGGGCTGTTCCTAAGTTGTATCCATTATAATAAACCAGAAAAATAAGAAAACTGTTTTCCTAACTTTTGTGGGTCCTTTTAGCAAATTATCATAACTTAGGAAAGGTTCATGGGAAATCCTGAATTTGTAGCCAAGTAGAACAGAAGTACCGTTAGCCTGGGAATCAGACATTGGAACTGGCCTCTTCAAAGAGGGCAGTCTTGTGGGACTGAGTCCTTAAACCTTTAAATACTGTCCCTAACCTCAGGTAGTGTCAGAATATGGTTAAATGTCAGTCACCCAGTTGGTATCATAGAATCAGATAATTGGTGGTGGAAGAGACATCATATATTTGGTGTCAGATAGGGAATCACAGAAACCTCAAGGTATTGATTAAAAGTCACATTTATATAATGACTTGAAAGACATGTAGGAAATACCCAGTTTTCAAAAACATTTACAGAAATGTTAATCCTGTGTTCTGTAATAGCTCAGTCTTAGCATTAGATATGCACTAATGCATTTGATGTCTACACTAACATCATGAGATAGGCACCATAAATATTGCCATTATACACATAAAGACACTGAGTCTCAGGGACGTTGAGTCTTTTTCTTCAGGGCCATAGAGTTGTCAAGTTATAGCTCTGAAGACTGATGATCCGAGGTCAGAGGTCAGCCTCAGATGACTCATCTCCAGGAAAAGGAAGGGAGGAAACAGCTCAGCCTTTACATCCACACCATGATCACCTTTATCTCAGATCCTCCTTCTTTTCACAGGTTCCCATGGTAGCAGCAGCATTTATGGTCCCTGGACAGGTAAGTGGAAGAAGCCCCAGCACCTACCCATACGTCATCCCTACCCCTGGTCCTGACACACAGATATAGGAGACAGTGTTGTCCTGGGATTGTGGGCCCTTAGTTCTGGGCCCTGGTATCATCTCAGGCACAGGATCATTAATCAAAGCCAGCAGTTGTACGGAGGTGTTCCCATGTGTCCAATGGAGAAGGTCAAGTGGTGACATGTCCTTGGGCACAGACTGGAGATGAGACTGAGAGGGGAGTCTTCAGGGAACTGCCGGCCCCATGACGTGGGCTGATAAAGACTGGGAGTCATTCCTGGGATAGCAGCCTGAGGAGCTGGGCCACTCCTGAGGGGGCGGGTCCATGCCACGTTGACCACAGAGGAGGGAAGTGATCTGACGCTGGGTCTGAAGAGGCTGCTCTGCCTGCCGAGAGGAAGACTGGGGATGAGGGTGGAGCCAGGGGCCCAGTGGAGGGCACAGTCCTGGTGAATGTCGATTGTGACTGGATCCTGGCAATGGCTCTGTAGCAGGAGAGGAGGTGAGTCTCTGAATCTCGTTTGTGGTAGAGCTGATTTTCTGCTGTACAGGATGAGAGAGAGTAGTCTGACATGACCCCAGGATGTTTACCTCTAGGTGACGGTGGGGACGCCATGTCTGAGACGGGAAGTCAGAAGTAGGAGTAATGGACAGAAGGACTGTCCAGAGTTCCATGTTCCCATGCTGAGTCTGAGATATTGCTGGGGTGTCTTGCGGGAGGTCCCGCAGAGGCCTGGGGAAGCACCGCATGCTGGGTGGCATGTGGGGAACATGGTGAGGTGCTGAAGTCCTGGGGCTGAGGTGGTGGCGTGGGGTGGGGTAGGGGTCACCTTCAGGCATGTGAGGGAGCTTTGACCCTGCAGGGCTGGGCAATGGAGAGGGAGGGAGTGTGAGCATGGACTCAGAGCCCTTGTCCCCAGGCTTTACTTCAGGGGGCTGAGCACAAGTGTCATTGTATGTGATGTGATCTGTGTGATCTCAGGAGAGTCGACTCTGAGGAGAGTGGCTGGGGGTCTGTGTGGCAACCACAGAGCGTCTGTGAGACTGCCTGTCTCCCTCTCTGTTTTAACTGAATGATGTAATGCTAGTAAGTTCCTGTTGCATCAGGACCTGGTGTGTCCTCTGAGCTGGGTTACTGGGGTGGACAACCATGACCTGGGGGTCCTGGTTGCAGAGGCTGCTGTGAACTCACTTGTCCCCCTCATGACAGGGCCATGTGATCTTTGAGGATGTGGCTGTGTCCTTCTCCCAGGAGGAGTGGGGTCTCCTTAACAATGCTCAGAGACTCCTGTACTGTGACGTGATGCTGGAGAACCTGTCACTTATAGCCTCCCTGGGTAAGGACCCCTGTTCCCGCACCATCGCCCCATATGGGACTCTGCCCTTCTTTTTGCATGGCTCACTCCATCCTTCTGAGCCTGGACCTTGGACACTGCTTACTTCCCTGATTTCCTGTCACTTGAGCTGTGTTCCCCCACCCTGTGTGTTGTTCAGCCCTATACCATAGATGTTGAAGCTTTTCACAGAAGGCTTTGGTCTCAGAGGCTTGAAGCCTGCCTGAGTGATACCACTTAGCTTTGCCACCACTTGTTGTGTTGACTGTTCAGATGTGTGCAAGATCCGTGTCACACGTTCCAACCTTTTTTTGTGCACTATCTGTGTCAGAAATTACAGACACATGGTCACCACTTGTGGTCAACCCTAGATTATGTTTGCAAGACTCCTTAAGGTTCTTCTAGTGATACATCTTTTTCCTGAAGTCTGTCATTGGTTGGTTCACTCTGGGCCAGTGTCTTTCTCCTAGTGGCCCTGTTTTCCTCTGAGGACTTTGATCTGGTAGGGTTCATAGTCACCCAGCCTGAGCTGAGGGATGGAGACAACCCTGGGTGCCTGGCAAGGTAGGCCCCCCTCTAGTCATAAGAGGAGGGTTAATTGCATCCTGGGCCTGGTGAGTAGGAGCTGTAGGAAGGTGTAATACATTGATGAGTTCTAATCCTACAGCGAAATGTCCTTTCTCCACGACTGTTTTAGTCTTAAACTCATCATGGCTGTACCTCATTCTATCATTCTTCCCCATTTTGACACTTTGCCCCCTTTACGTATCTACTGTGGGTTCTTTCTCCTGGCTCTTTCTATCTCAGTGTCATCCACATTTCTCCATTTCCTCTCACTCTGCAATGTTGTCTAATAGTCTCTTCTTTTTTTTTTTTTTTTTTTTTTTTCTTGCGTTATGCGGGCCTCTCACTGTTGTGGCCTCTCCCATTTGCGGAGCACAGGCTCCGGACGCGCAGGCTCAGCAGCCATGGCTCACGGGCCCAGCCGCTCCGCGGCATGTGGGATCTTCCCGAAACGGGGCACGAACCCGCGTCTCCTGCATCGGCAGGCGGACTCTCAAGCACTGCGCCACCAGGGAAGCCCAATAGTCTCTTCTTAATGTATCTTGGGAGGTGAAGGTACTTATATAGTCCTTGAACTCTTGGTAGTCAGGTGTGAATGCCTTTTCCTGGAGTGGGACACACATTCTACCCAGTACACTTGTCACCACCAAAAAATACTGCTGAACACCATCGGCCGAGGAGTGGGTTGTTCCAGGCCTCTACTCCTAGTACAGTGCCATATCCTGGTGTCCTGTGTTCTTGCTGTTTATAAGATCTCTCCCTATTCTCTGATCATCAGAGGTCTAGTACTCACAGTAGCCCCTTCTGCTACCTGTCTGCCTCCCGTGTTTGAATCCTGCACAATGGACTTCTTCTTTGATGTGTCATACAAAAAGCTATAATGGGCTCCTGTCCCACAAAAGTCTCCATGCACTTATTCAGTTTTTTTTGTTTTCCTTTCAGGTTGTTGGCATGGAGTAGAAGCTGAGGAGGCCATTTCTGAACAATGTGTTTCTGTGGAACAAGTGACGGAAGACAGGAATCCAAAGCTGGAGCCATCTATCCTGAAGCCTCTGACTTCTGATACGAGTGTCCTGGCGGAGAAAGATGTTTTGTACTTGGCTGACAATATGTTCACATGCGGAGAGGTTGAGAAGGCTTTCCTAGGCAGCTTGGGCTTTCCCCAGCACCAGCCTTCCCACAATGGCGAGCATCCACGTAGAAGCAGTCAGAGCAGGGAGGTCTCTCACCCTGGGCAAGGGCATCACAAGTGCAGCGAATGTGGCAAAGCCTTCAGTAAAAAGTTTAAATTCACGGAGCACCTGAGAGTTCACACTGGAGAAAAACCTTATGAGTGCAGTGACTGCAGGAAGTTCTTTAGACACAGCTCCAGTCTTATTCATCATCGGAAAATTCACACAGGAGAAAGGCCTTATGAATGCTGTAATTGTGGGAAAGTCTTTGCCCACAAATATAAACTTTTTGAGCACCAGAGAATCCACACTGGAAAAAGACCATATGAGTGTAATGAATGTGGGAAAGCCTTCCTTCGCAAGGATTCGCTTGTTCAGCACCAAAAAATCCACACTGGAGAAAATCCTCATAAGTGCAGTGAATGTGGAAAGTGCTTCCTGTACAAAAATAACCTTCTTGTGCACCAGAGGATCCACAGTGGAGAAAGGCCTTATGGGTGTAGCAAATGTGGAAAGTCCTTTGTCTTCCAAAAAAGGCTTCTTTATCACCAGCGAATCCACACTGGAGAAAGGCCTTACATGTGCAGTGAATGTGGGAAAGCCTATGTCTACAAAGGAAGTCTTATTGTGCATAAGAGAATTCACACTTTAGAGAAGGCTTATGGGTGTAACAAATGTGGGCAATTCTTTACAAGCAGTTTTGCCCTCAATAGACATGAGAATGTTCACACTGCACGAAGGTGTTATGAGTGCAGCAAATGTGGGAAAGCTCTCAATGGCAAAGTCAAACTTGCTGAGCACCAGAGAATCCATACTGGAGAAAGACCCTATAAGTGTAATGAATGTGAGAAAGCCTTCATGCGCAAGTATACACTTGTTCAGCACCAAAAAGCCCACACTGGAGTAAAGCCTTTTAAATGCAGTGAATGTGGGAAGCCCTTCACTTACAAAACAAGTCTTGTTGTCCACCAGAGAATCCACACTGGAGAAAGGCCTTATATGTGCAGTGAGTGTGGGGAAGTCTTTGTCTACAGAAGAAGTCTTCTTGTCCATCAGAGAATCCACACTAGAGAAAAGCCTTATGAATGTAGTTCTTTGTAAGCAGCTCCAAGCTCATAAAAAACAAAGTTCACACTGGGGCAATGCCTTCTGGACTTATGCTTTCCTTCACTAGAGTTAATATCTAGCAGCACAACTCCTATGTAGTAGAGTAGGTGAATGTATACTTCATATGTGGCCAGTCAAACTTTTCTAAAATGGTAGTATCTTTTTATAGTCTCACGAGAAGCAGCAGAACATGAGTTCCTGTTTTTTACATTTTTACCAACACTTGGTATGTTCAGGCTTTCTAATTTCAGTGATGTCATAGGTGTATCTAGTGATTTTAACTAATGTTTCCCTATTGACACAATGTGAGTGGTTTTCCATGTGTTAATTTCCAACCATATTTCTTTTTTTCTTTTTAGTTTTTATTGGAGTATAGTTAATTTACAATGCCATGTTTCAGGTGTACAGCAAAGTGAATCAGACAGCCATATTTCTTTTTTGAAATTTCTGTTCATATAATTTTGTCATCTTAATTACTGAGTTGATGTTTCTTCATGGATTATTGATTAAGGTCCTCTAGTGGAAATATTTACCAATATTCTTCCAGACTTGTTCTTCTCATTTTAGTCACTTTTCCAGAGAAAGACTATTTTTTTTGGGTGGGGGGGTGGTTTTGGCCATGCTGTGGCATGCAGGATCTTACTTCTCCGATCAGGGATTGAACCTGTGCCCCCTGCAGTGGAAGCACAGAGTCCTAACCACTGGATCTCCAGGGAATTCCTCAATATGAAGCTTAGAATCCACTTTTCAATTTGTGCATCACAAAAAAATCCTACTAGAATTTTGACTGGGATGGCATTTAATCTTCAATTTAGAAAGAAATACTGAGTGTCCCAATCTATAAACTTGATAGATCTCCTTTTATTTAGATCTTGCTTAATTTTTGTTAGCAGTCTTTTTTAGTTTTCTGTTTGTAGGTCTTACACATCTCCAGGAAACTTAAACATCTCCACGTATTTTCTACATCTTATGATGTTGTGAAAGGGAATTTTAAAAAATCTTCAATTTATGAATTGTTCATACCTATTACACTTAGAGAGATGTAAAACTAAGGACAAGTGATCTTTCTTTTTATTTTATTTTATTTTTGGGGGTGACCTGTGGGACCTCAGTTTCCTGGCCAGGAATTGAACCTGGGCCACGGCAGTGAAAGACCAGAATCCTAACCACTAGACCACGATGGAACTCCCTAGTAGTGATCCTTCTTAATCTTATAAATAAGATCTACAAAGAGCGATTAGAAATACTATCCCTTTGAACCATTATTAAAGTATTCCCATTAGAATAAAAGGAGGACAGCTGCTCTTTGTTCTCTTATTCAGTATCATCCTGGAGTTCCAATTTCATTCAATACAACAACAAAAAAATACGGCAAAATAATGAATATGTAGCAATTGGAAAGGAAGAAATAAACCACCTAAAATATGTTCACAGTTTTCATCTTCACTATGAGTCCAAATATGGACATTCAGTTTAGTGTCCAGACCCATTGTAAACTCCTAATTTTTTCGTCACCTATTTGCTGCCCTTCTTACTTCCTTAGAACCCATCACCTTCTATTACACTATGCAACTTAATATCATAGATGAACTGCTTATTGTATATTTCTATCAAATACAGACTAAGTTCCAGTAACGGAATATGTATTTACATGTTGTGCACTGATATATTTCATATTCCTAGAAACATGTCTGAAACACCTATGGTACATATTGATGTCTTGAAATACATAAAAAAATGACAACACTCATTTAACTTCAATTGCACAACTGTGGGTATACTTTCTAACTCTCCTCACCCTGCCTTTTCCTTCAGTTTCACTACCCTCAATGCTCTGAGTTATGGGACAAATCATATTTTGCAAAAAGCCTTTAAATCAACTAAAAAGTTCCAATAGTTATTTTATTGGCTTCCTTCTCTTATTAGATCTGAGGGTTTTTTTTTCTCACATTCCATTGGGATTTTGATTGTTTATTTCAAAAACAGGTTTTCTGCCATCAATTTCTGCCACTCCTGATGCATATCTTTTTTTTTTTTGGCTGTGCGACTTGCAGGATCTTAGTTCCCTGACCAGGGATCGAACCCGCTTTCCTTGCAGTGGAAATGCGGAGTCTTCACCCCTGGATCACCAGGGAAATCCTGATATCTATCTCATTAAGCACTTCTAATAGCTCTTGGTAGTTACACAGTCCCAAATGTTTTTCAGTTTGTCTCCTCTCTGTCTGCAGACACTGTCAGTGCACTTACAGGTGATGTGGTAATCACTTCCAAGAGCAGATGACATCGTTGGGTTCTAAATATTTATCTCGGGCTTTCATGTCCCCATTGTAGACTCTCAGTTTCTGCCATGGCAGTCCTTGTTACGGGAGCAAATACACATTTGGTAAGTATCTCTTCAGGTGTCTGATTCTTAGAAAACATTTATGTCAGGAAACCCAAGAATAACTATTCTTAAAATAAATTTCTTTACTGTCCTGCGGTCAGGACAGTAAAAAAGGAACCACCTTAGGAAGGTTATATATATAGATACATAAATATAGACAGATAAGAACAAAGCTATAAAATCAGGAAAGGCATTTGCTGAGGAAACCAGAGGCATGTTGCCTCTTATCAACGTACATCAGGAGTGCCTGACACTTACCCTTTCTCCTCAGTTGCATTGTTTTGAAACTTGTCTCACTGGCTTCTCACTAAACACACTGACCATAAACAGGGTTCACTGTAGAGGCTTCAAGATAAGGTAGGTTGTGAGTAATAAGATGAAGAAGATGAGTTCCTACTCTGAGTAGAGGCCTAGTATCTGTGGTATCTGCTGATGAGGGGCATGTTGTGTCATGGAGACTTTAATGATGTGTCTCTAAATTTTTATCCTTGGCGGAAGGCTGTTCATTGCATCTCAAGTACTTGGATGTCCTCTTTATCAGTAATCGTCACTCTCTACCCTCCTAGGGCCTTAGCTTCCATTCCTCACCTATAAAAATGGATCCATTCTTCTGTCATCTATCTGTCTATCGTCTACCTCTATATCCTCTTTACCTTATTGTGATTTCATCTCAATGACATAATTTTTTAAAAAGATTTTCTTGGTTTGATGTGGACCATCTTTAAAGTCTTTATTGAATTTGTTACAATATTGCTTCTGTTTTTATGTTTTGGTTTTTTTGGCACAAGCCATGTGGGATCTTAGCTCCTTGATCAGGGATCGAACCCTCACCCACTGCATTGGAAAGTGAAGTCTTAACCACTGGGCCGCCAGGGAAGTCCCGCATTTATAATTTTTTTAGAGAGAAAAAAATTGGACCAGACACCCTCTTAGAAGAATTGAATCATCCTACACTCAGTGAGAACAGGGCATTTAAATTAGACCCTTCCTGTGCCTTCACAGAACCTCTATGATAAGGGGAAGTTATCAATCATTATTGTCTGTGACTCACTGCAGGTCATTATGAGTGGATTGACCCATGACCTCAACAATGTCATGGTTGTCAGACTCTCAGGTTTATGCAAACTTCCAAATTCCGGTGCTAAATTCTGTTGACATATGTTTTTGTTATTTAACTTCACCTTGTGGTTCCTCTAAATATTCCTGGTTATTTCCCTTGTCAATTTTCTTATTCTGCTTAATTTTCTAATTCTGTAACCTATTTTCATTATACTTGTGGAAATTTTTTTCTTTCAGAATTATGACTAACAGAACATAGTCAAATTTTAGAAAATTCATATAATATCTAGAATATTTATATCAAAGACATTTACCCATACATTATAACCTGGGAGGGTTTATCACCACTCATTTGGCAATGCTTCCCATGTAATTTCACATAGCAAATAATCCTAATTAGCTTAATATCTCTGGCTCTGAGATTCAGGGGCCCACTAGAGGTCAGAAGAAACTGAATTAGAATTTGATCCTTGGGAATTTTGTCAAAAATATCAAAAATGTTTTAAAACACTTGACTAAGAAGTATCATAAGTCACTGTCAAACATGTTTATTCACTTTACCAAAGTGACAATAAAAGATTTCAAAGGCAAATACAGGAAGTTATAATAGATTACTTAAAAGATAAGCTTTACAATCTGCTATCAATAGCTGATATATATATGTATATATATATATATTTGTCTTTATTGAATTTGTTACAATATTGCTTCTTTTTTTTTATGTTTTGGTTTTTTGGCCATGAGGCATGTAGGATCTTAGCTCCCCAACCAGGGATTGAACCCACACCCACTGCTTTGGAAGGCAGAGTTTTTTGTTTTTTTTTTTGTGGTACGCGGGCCTCTCACTGTTGTGGCCTCTCCCGTTGAGGAGCACAGGCTCTGGACGCGCAGGCTCAGCGGCCATGGCTCACGGGCCCAGCCGCTCCGCGGCATGTGGGATCTTCCCGGACCGGGGCACGAACCCGTGTCCCCTGCATCGGCAGGCGGACTTTCAACCACTGCGCCACCAGGGAAGCCCGGAAGGCAGAGTTTTAACCACTGGACTGCGAGGGAAGTCCCAATAGCTGAACAGTATTCTAAGAAAACACTCTCCTCAACAGAGACGAAACCAAATTTAGGTTTTAGCACCATCTTACCCTTAAAATTCATTTACTCAATTAAATATATTCTATTCTTACTCCTGACCACACACAAACCCCTTCCCCCTTCCCCCAAGATTTCTTTTCCACAAATCTTGTATAACTTCCTTTTTTACCTTCAGATTTTGTCCTATGCCTTCTCTTTATCTCTCTCTCTTTTTAACCTCTCTTTAGGTCAAAATTACTTTCTCTTAACTAAGTGTATTTCCTTTCCTTGTACCTTCTTTTTCCTTGCATACAAAGATGTTTTACTTAGTAATTTTTAGTGTTTTTCATTACATATGTTAATTAGAATTATTCACCTTTAAAACCTTAATTTCTAGTGAAAACTAAGAAGCAAGCAATTTTGAAATATCTTTTACATTAGCATTCTGTAAGTTGGAAAACTTATAAATACTATTTATAATTTCTTT